GGGGTCAGTGAGTGAGTGTGGGGGTCAGTGAGTGACAGTGGGGTCAGTGAGTGAGTGTGGGGGTCAGTGAATGAGTGTGGGGTCAGTGAGTGAGTGTGGGGGTCAGTGAGTGAGTGTGGGGGTCAGTGAGTGACAGTGGGGTCAGTGAGTGAGTGTGGGGGTCAGTGAATGAGTGTGGGGTCAGTGAATGAGTATGGGGGCCAGTGAGTGAATGTGAGGTCAGTGAATGAGTATGGGGGCAAGTGAGTGAATGTGGGGGTCAGTGAATGAGTGTGGGGGCCAGTGAGTGTGTGTGGAGATCAGTGAGTGGGTGTGGAGGTCAGTGAGTGAGCGTGGGGGTCAGTGAGTGAGCGTGGGGGTCAGTGAATGAGTGTGGGGGTCAGTGAATGAGTGTGGGGGCCAGTGAGTGAGCGTAGGGGTCAGTGAATGAGTGTGGGGGTCAGTGAGTGAGCGTGGGGGTCAGTGAGTGAGTGTGGGGGTCAGTGAATGAGTGTGTGGGTCATTGAACTTTGGCAGGTTATTGAGCTTCAGCTGAACCCCAACTCCAGCAGGTCCTGATTGTTCCAGTGATTCCCTGCACATTACTGTGGTATTTTACAATCCCTGGCTGGTGGTTCAGGATGATAGAAGCTAGCGTCATGTAATCCATTCACTGAGGGTCTGTCCGACTGGCATCCAGGGAGCAGGGTCATTCAAGGGGTCAGTGCCTTTGGCAACTGTCACTCTCTCTGCACTAGATAACCATTAATCAATTACTACAACTCCAAGAACGAACAGTGTCCTTTTCAACAACCTAATTATATCAACAAAGACCAGTTACGACACTGAACGTCAATCACCGACAATGTTATTCCCACCTGCCGGGTGCTGATGAACTTAGAAAGCTTGTGTTCTGTAATTAATTGCCAGTATTGCACTCACCCATAGGAAAGAATGAGACTGGCGATTCCCTGTAGCATGTCCTCTTAAACAGTGTCACGGCCAATAAAGCAGCCAATCACTGTGGCCAGTTTCATCCAGGGAACATGGTGGCTCATGTCTGCACACAACATTCTCCAATGACAACATTAAGACAAGGACTGGTGACTCTGTATTAGCAACACTGGCCGGGATGCAGGAGAGCACTCGCCTGTTTTTCTTCACTGGGATCTTTTGGGAACGTGCTGTTCTACCCAAAGGGCCGACAGCTTGGCCTTGCACTACTACCTGATGCAAGGAATGTCAGCTCCGATGATCTAGCCCACCTTCAGCACTGCTGAGCGGGCGCAGTTGAGGAATCTCACAGCGGATCATTTGAAGGGTAATTTTGATGGTTCAGCTAAGTCCGTTGGATCCTTCTCAACTCTGGCAAAGGGAAGTGAGAAGATACGGTGTTTTGAGGGCCGTGCTGACCCCTGGGGTTAATGGGTTGTGGAGATCCTATGTCCCTGACCTGCAGTCAGTGGTCATGATCACATGACATCAAACCACTGAATGGTACAAGCACAGGAAGAGGCCACACTGACTCTGGTGATGGTCCTGGCTTTCTGAAAGCGTGTCTCCATTTCTGCCAGGGGCCCCTGCTACTTTCTCTATTGCCCCATCTTTCTTGCCCCCATCACGCACTTATCAGGTTCCCTTTTGCTGGTTCCCGGAGAATCAGCTTCCCCTCAGACGACAACAAATCACAGCTTCAAAACGACACTCCCCCTTCTTCATCTCATTCCCGTTTCCCCTCAATCTGTGTCCTTCTGTTTACTGACCCTCCTGCCAGTACAAACAGTTTGTCTTTATTGACCCAATCAAAACTTCATGAACTTGAACAACTCCCCCACCACCCCAATTAAATTTCTTTTCTTCACTAGCAGGATATGGGTGTCCCTGGCGAAGCCACATTTGTCGCCCATCCCCTCACTGCCCTTGAGCCGAGAGACTTGTCTGGCCATTTCGGAGGGTGGTTGGAAGTCAACAACACTGCTGTGGGCCGGGAGTCACGTGTCAGTCAGACCAGCTAAGGACAGCAGACCCCTGCACTAAAGGACGTGGCTGAACCCAATGGGTTTGTACAACATTTGACATTGCATATGTTGTGATTGCAAGGCAGTCAGCCTGCTGGACCTACTGGAATATGAGTTCCCCGACTGGCGCTCTGCCAGGGAGCCCTGGCTGACACAAAAAGGATATAGGTCAGACATCTTGTGCCTCTGAATGTGAGAGACTCAGTGAGAGGCATTGCTATTGTCAAACTGCTATTGCCTTTATAATTGAAGGGTGATGGGTGGCAGGATGCGAAGGGTTATTACACAGGGTTGGCATGAGGCAGACTTTATTGCCACCCCCCAAGCTGCACCTAGCTGCTGCACGGACGTTTAGCCCAGACATACATTGTAGAGGATGGTGGTCCAACCCTCCATGGTGATGCATTGGAAGACAGTGAGCAGGGCAAACAGGATGTTGTCAAACTGGGTGATGCCAGCGTTGGGTCCAATCCAGTAGTCGCACACGGTGTCGTTGGGGCACAGTCGGGCTGGTTCCTGTCTGCCACAGGGGAACTGCAGCTCCAGCTCTTCAACAGCTGTTGGTAGATTGGGGGGTGGGGGCATCACAGAGAGAGCAAGCCATCAATTATCATCAAAAGGAGATAACGGCACCCAAATATAACGCCACTCACAACCACATGCCGTCCCTAAGGGTATTACACCCAGACACTTGAAATGTCCTCACACACTCAAACAAAATCAGAATAGGCCACTCAGCCACCCCCCACCATTCAACGAGACCACAGCTGATCCATTTATGTTCCATGTTTCCCTTCTGCTCCCTTGGGAAACCCGGATTGCCCTGCCTGACGGGAATGAGGGCGGGAGCCGACTCAAGTACAGCAAGATCCCGCACGCACCCTACCCTGGGTAACAAGAGCGTAACCTGCACCGATGCTGATCGAGCGATGAGAACTGATCAGGGCACTGGGGGGACGGTAGCTCTGCCATTCGTCAGTATTGTGACGCACCATCTTTTATCTGCACCCGGGTTGTGGGGTTGGGGGGGGGGGGGGGGGC